CTCTCTTTAACATGACTAATGCTGCTGATGCTACCGCTCTCTGTTCATATGCTTCGTTTCGATAGTGTTGATCGTGAGCCCAATTGTTTCTATTGCTGAAGGCAGTTCTTCTTCCTTTCGTTTGGATTTGGTGGATTGATTCGTCAACCTCTTCGTCTTAGTAACTATTGGTCTTGGTCAAGTCATGTTTTACATAAACAGTAGTCTAGTTTAGCGTACCATAGAATCCCGTTAGTTTGAGTAGCTAAAATTACAATTTAAAGGCACTCATTTAGAACATGTTTAATGGATTGATTTCTTTATTATAGAGTCTCCCTTTTTATCATGTTAGGAGGTCTATAAGAGGCCTCCTCTAGTTAAGTACTGAGGGTGTCAATGTGCTGTCTTTCTTCGGAGTTTTGATTGTTAAGTTGCAGAGGATCTTGCTTTGTTTTGAGATGTTGGGTGATGAGAGAAAGTCCATTTGTGGTCGGGATTTTGGCAGGTTTCATATTTGATCGAGGCCGGCCTCGCGGAGGTCGTTACTCAGTGCGTCCCTAATGCTGCCCGGTATGCCGTACAGCTGTCGTGAGCCTTCGTATTGAGTACAGTGGCAGATTATGTGTTCCACTGAACAGTTGGTGCGGCAGAGCTCGCAAAACTTCCGGAACGGGCCGCTTCCTGAAAAGTTATGCGAGACTCTGGTATGGCCTGTTCTGAGTCTTGCCAGGACAACCTGAGTTCGGTGGTTGATTGGGACCATGTATGTGACCATAAGTCATAGATTTTGTTGGCAACCCATTTTTTTCAGGTCCCCCGATGGAACCTCCTTGGTAAACAGTTGGGCTTGTCTTCCAGAAGCCGCTGATGATCCGCCTCTGTATTACCACGAATGTCGCAGTGACCCGGAATCCATACAAATGTAGTGTTTCTGGCGGCATACCGCTGAATGGCTTGGATCCATGTGTGCTTGATAGTGTCTGAATTGAGGGGTAGAACTACATTTGCGGAGTCCGTAAATACGGCAATTGGCTTGTTTGAGGGCGTGGTAGCAGCAATAAAAGCAGAGACCGCTTCTGCCAAGAATATAGTGTACTGGTCTGGAAGTCGGAGTAACGGATAGTGGGGTTGCAGTATCTGGTTCTCTGGAGTTCCGCGACGGATCTCACAAGTGCCGTAGAGTTGGATCCTGCCTTGAACTTCTTTTTTATCGCCAAGTCGATAACGGGCCCGGGCAGGTTCCAATCTCTGGCTCCACACCAATGTATGCTAGACACCGGGGGGAGCTCCAGATTGGCGATGGCTGAAAGGAGTCGTTTAGCCTCGGTAAGGAGGAAAACTCCTTCATCTGAGCCAGCTGTCTTCTCCTCGAAGCTAATTGATCGGTTGCAAATGGTCTGAGCAACTAGAAGGTTGAATGGTAGTACTCCACTTTCCACGTAAGTTGCAATTGCAGGTGTGGATGGTAGTAGGCCGGATGAGATACGGATAGCTTGATTGTATGTAGAGGCTAGTTTTGTAATAAGTTGTTCGCGAGCGAGACAGATAACTTCGTCAAATATCGGTCAATTCGAACTCCGAGTATACGGGCTGACCTTCTGATGGGAATAGCTGTACCATTGATACAGACGGAAGTGTTAAGGACGGCATGATGTTGAGAGCAGATGTGCACCAGTGTGCATTTTTCGGCTGAGAGTTGGAAGCAAGTCAGTGATGTCCACAGGGAGACTGCCCTTGTGGCAGCGCCCATCTTGAATATGTTTAACTGGCACCCCTACACAAGTGCCCAATGGATTACATACCTCTGTACCTCAATTTTAGCCAATCAAACAAACGGGGATCTACTGTAGTGGATCCACGCTCGGTCGTCTTCAATGTTTATTCTTTTTTTTTAGGTTCCCTTTCCATCCAATATTAGGACTGGTCCCGTACTTGCATTTCTGTAAGATTCTGTAAGGCAAAAAAAAAACAAAATGATGTTCCTGTACTTTTGCAGTACCGTAAAGTGGGGTATCTTTGATAATACGGGTAACTTTGATATTACAACATAATGATTAAATTTTCTCACAACACTATTTCCAAATTGGAAGCGCTGGTTCCATTTGAAGCTTGGGGCATTATCTTTGATATCGTATAAAGTTTGTACATACAGTACTTGTTCGCTAACTGGGCTAAAAGCGCAGTCCAGTTAGCGAATTCCACTCGCTAACTGGGCTGACTTGTCAAAAGTCAAAAAACACTGAGGGGAACTTCGATGAATTGTTTGATCGATGTTCAAAAATTTAATGTGCGTTGAATTAAAACAGTGTAAAGTCTGTATTGTTATTTTCACAGCAATCAATTTCGCGTGTTTAGAAAGGCTTAACGCTTTCGCTAAAAACGCATTTAAGTCCTGATTTCAACGTGAAATCAAGTTTATTGATATCAACACTTAATATTCCATTCGAATGCCCCTCACCAATTTTGACAACGAAATGTCAAACTAAATGTGACGCCTATTTTTGAAGTATGACTGCTTTTTAACGAACGCCCAGTTAAAAAGCAGCCCAGTTAAAGAATGCTCATTTAGTGAACAAGTACTGTAGTATCTTTTAAATATTTTACAAATATAAGAAAAAAACTTGCCTGATTGAAAAGGCACTCAAATAATCATTTCTTAAATGTATTTCCGATAGAGCCACCACAAATTCAATGTTTTATTCTAAGGGGCTGTTAATTAACTACCTAGACAGTTTTTTTGTTGGGATTATTGACTCCCCTCTTCCTCTGCGTAGACAATTGTCCATACATTTTTTTACTTTGTATTGGCTGTGGATAATTCCCAACCCCTAACATGTCTACGTAGTTTATGGACAGACCCTTACTGCTTATGATGTTTCTGATTATATATTTATTCAAAAATTCATATTTCCTGAACTTAATTATTGAGATTTACGCATCTTTTATTTTATTTATCGAGTATTATCAAAGTAACCCCAAAACAAAAAAAAAAAACTAAAGTTCGGTCACTAGAATATAAAATAGTGCAAATTCAATTATTTTCGTTGAACATATTACTTACTACTAGGATCTAGTATTTGCTTAAAAAAAATGAAAAACACTATTTGTTTTAAAAAATATTTCGAATAAACATAAAAAACTATCAAAGCTACCCCGTACGGTATATTATTTTCTTACATCAAACTACAGAAAGCTGCAGCAACTTACAGTAAAAGCACAGACAAACAGACATAACACTCGCAAGTTGTTCATCGAACAAATATTTAACGGACAATTCAAAAGTATCGTAGTTGGTAGTACCAACAATCAATACGAAACTAACGATTTTATATTGGCTCACTACTTGACTAGCCTATTGGTCCCAAGCAAACGATTAACGTATCCCATTCAAGTCGAAATTCTAGTACTACACTATGTTTGTTTTGATTTGCTTTGAATGTTTGACAGATAAAATGAGGGGTTAGTGGATTTTCCTATGTTTCGAGGGGTGAATCGATTAGCTTGGGACCGAAGATAGTACCAGAGCTGAGCCAAAAAGTTGAGCACGTATCTTCGGGACCTTCTGGTCTTAGAGTTACCTCTATGGTAGTACCGCCACCTGTGGCGCGCATATTCAATTCCCTTGCGTTTGACGTTTACACACTACCCCCATCTGTTCAGCGTAGTGCCTACCACAGTGTACTCAACAGATGGCGGTAATGTTTTAGCAACCATGTTTTACAGTGAGAAATATTCAATGTGTTATGTCTGTTTGTCTGTGGTAAAAGCATACAATCAAGTACGGGATCAGACCTAATGACTGCAGGTAGCCACCGATTTATTTCCTTTTAGCAAGCTTCTCCTCCATAGCTAATGCAAAAAGCGTAAAGGGCTGTCCATAAACTACGTAGACAATTTTTAAAAGATGTTAGATCCCCTCCTCCTGCGTTCCTACAAATTGTAAAACAAAAATGTATGGAACATAGACGCTCGCCCATAGGCATGTTTGGACAGTCCCTAATATAGAAGAGCTCTACTACCTTTTATACCGCTTTCTATTCTGCAGTGGTACCTATCACCATCACCGACATACTTCTAATGTAATATTCTGCTCTTCCGTCAATATCTACCATTCCTCATCACGTTTCAACCAATTTGTATTCGTATCTGAGCATTACGTGTCGTCTGTTGTGGTCGTCACCTTGTGTAAAGAATTTCAGAATTTCCTTAGACTGATGATCCCTTATAGCGAATTCGTTTATTATCGGGGTTAACACTAGTTCCAACCCAGTGCGAAACCGAACTTTTTGTCAGTGTGAACCTCAACCTGAGCTAGGTTTTAAAAACAAACGAGCAAACTGACGTTTGTCAGAAAACAAGCAGACCCAATCTTGATACCCGATCCAGGTTGGAACTCAATAATAAACGAATTCGCTATTAGTTTCCGTTGCTTGTCACCACATCTAGTTTTCTGTAGTCACACCTTTCACTGACAAATATCCTACAGATTGATAGGCTACGATCTACGGCTTCAATGTAAAGATCAGAGGTTTCGAAAGTTCGTTTGTATGGAAAATGCGGTTCGAACGTAAACGAGAATTTACGGGTGAATGTCCCAAAATGCAGAATAGAATCCATGAAGAGCGTTTTCTTGAAATGTTGTAAAGCTGGTGATGGTCGTACTTACTACCTATTTGTTTTCGTACACCTTTGGTCATGATAACTTTATTCGTATCGGACTCCCTGAGAATCCTATTCAATTTTACGTCAACCGGACATTTGGATCCGGAGATATGATAAAAAGAAGTTGAATTTGTTGTACCAGGAATGAGTTTTAGTCAACAAATGTCGGCCTGTTAGTGAGACAACCACGTCGGCCTAATAATCCATTCGTACTTTGCGCGACCTTAGGGTTTCGTACTTCGGCCTGACAACCGAGAACCGTTTAATAGAAAGAGCGGTTAGATGCACACAAGAGGTGTGAGTGCTATCAAAAATATTCTATTAACACTAAATTTTTTCCTTTTTCATACATCACGCAGTGGACAAGAACACGCTGTTTAGCGCACCAGCTAGCGTCGTAAAAGGTAACTAAAAACATAATTTTATAAGATAAGTCGACAGTGATCATGCATAAGGGCGTATACGCGATGATCGATTCTCTTCATCGATTTTCTCTTTTGTTAATAACTCGCTAGATTTAACGTTTCTCGGTGCGTTTGCTGTTCACACTTAGATTTTTTACCAGTATCGACAAAACAATCTAAGTGTGTTGGTTTTGATAGCCAATACAACCTGTTACAACTCTGCATTGAACAAATTCTACAAAATTGTTTCGGTTAGCTGTAGCAATGCAAAGAGAAAATCGATGAAGAGAATCGATCATCGCGTGCACGCCCTTATGTATGCTCACTGTCGAAGGTAATTCCCTTTATTCTGCGCCGCGAGTGAGGTGAGGTGACTCGCTGTCACTAGTGAGGTGACACAAGTCACCGCGAGTGAGGTGACTCTCCGTACAAATCAAATGAAGAGTCACCTCACTCGCGGTGACTTGTGTCACCTCACTAGTGACAGCGAGTCACCTCACCTCACTCGCGCCGCAGAATAAGGGGGAAGGTTTCATTACTAAGCAAGCAGTAATAATTCATTCATATAATGTATTGCAGGTTCGGTATTATTAATGTTCAAGATGCTCCATGTATACATAAACTTAATTCCATTAGAGTGTCTTATGAAATCCATAAAATAGATTAGATGTCCGCTCATAAGATTATCTTATTAAAAATTCTAGACCATAGTATGAAAAAGAACATCAACGCCACTGACGTCATTTCATAAGAACTTCTTATGAATTTCAAAGTTTTTTCTTTTGTCGAAATTACATAAGCATATCTTATGGAGCTCATACGTAATATTTCCTCAGTGTAGCAACACGAAGACAACTTGTTGGTGCGTACCTCTTTTAGGTAATCAGTTCATCTGCGCTTGACCAGGTTTAACCATATGGATATGGATTGAATGACGTAGAATATTTTTAACAAGTTTTTGACCACCCTTTCCCTCGTAGTGTATTTTGTTATACCAATGCATGGCTGGTCTTCCCTTCTGGCTCTCCCCCCTTCAAATTCTACGTCATTTATGCATGCTTCCTAACAGGGTAAACCTGGTTTAGGATTTTAGCGCAGATGAAGTAATCGACCTCTAAAAATGTTTGACAGCTAATCAGCACCTTTTCTGCATTTTATGCAACTGAGTAATAGTTTCCACCATCAAATCCGACAGATGTCGCCCCGCCAGTGGTGGATAAACCAGTTTTGCGGTGCGGAGATTTTCGAAAAATCGTCAATTTTTCTTCAAAGCATGCTTCTAGTATTGGTGAGAAAATTTCTACATATTGTTGTTTTTAGTAATAGTTACATTATGTAGAAATAATATATCGAACAAATCGCACCATTGATATTTTTAATTAAAAGTGAATTTCGCCGTACATTCTCAAGTCGATTTTCAACCAGCCCATACGATCGAAGGCAGCTCGCCCTCTGACCTAATTGGCTATCAAAAGTTATCTCCTGGCGGTGGATATAAGAACTATCGAAATGATGATGATTTCTGAGTTTTGCACGGTTCGATTTTCAAAATATTGAAACAAAATAATAATAATGGTTTTATTTATAGCATTATTGAAATAAAATTAAAACACTGTTCGGAATGCATTTTAAAATGTCGCTTCCTTGGTGCGTAAAATGTTGACATCATCATCATTTTGGTAGTTCTTGTATCCGCCGTAAGGGGATAACTACTGACTGTCAATAATTCAGATTAAAGGAGGTTTTTTTAATTGTATAGGGCGAAAGCAAAGAAATGCAACATAGTGTTGTGTTGTATCGGCGTTGCATGATGAGGATAAGAATTAAGCAAACAGACCACGGTGGCAGAGCTTATATAACATTCTTCCGCAGAATTGAGACGGTAAAACGCGCTCAAGATAACCGCATTACCGCAACAGGAGATCTTAACAGCAGGGCTGGTAGCAGGTCAAATTTTAGTGACTAGGTCACTATTTTTATGTCAGTCACTAAAAAATCACTTTTTGCACCAAAAAGTCACTAATTCCCTCAAAATAGTGAAAAACATCATCAAAATGTTTAAATTGAGTACTTGGCACTAAGGAAGTCCACAGTAGAAATATTCATATTTGTTTAAAAATAAACAATTATAACCAGGGTAACGGGAAAATAAATCAAGGAATTTTAAAACACCGTGCAAAAAGCTGCGAAAAACCTTGAATTTCGAGGACAAATCGGGGAAAATAAACTTCGTTTTTCCGAAAATAAATTATGAACCTTGGAAACTTTTCAAGGATACCGATCTGTAATAGATTTTGTCTTTTAAGAATTATCTAGAGCGGAGGTGAAAAAACGACACATACGAGCATCACTTTTGATATTAAATTATTAGAACGCAAAATTCAGCTCCAAAACACAATGTTTGGATGAATGCCATGATAATTGAGAGACGAGGTCCAGGTGCATAAAAGAGAGTTCTGAATAGAATTTTATGACTATTGGATGAGGATTCTTGATCCACATTCTAATAAGTATTTAAGATAAGTTCTGATATTTTTTTTAAGAGAGCTCTGATGAGAATCCCTTGGAAATCCCGTGAACTTTAAAGGTCTCCAAACTCAGCGGATAGTTGTAAAGGAATTTTAAGATGGATTTTTGTTTGAGAATTCTGAGGAAATACCAGGAGAATAAGAAATTCACGGCCCAAGAGCATTCAGAGAAGAAATTTAAAACATTTATGAGGTTAATTGCATGAGAGTTCTAAGGAGAATTCATGTAAATTTAAAATGTATTTTGAAATGGACTTTCAGGGAATTCAGAAGTTCCAATTTTGTGGATTGTTCTGCTATATATAAACAAAGTTTTAAGGTTTCGAAAGCAGAATTTACGAAAAATACTGCTGTTGTAGTAATGATCCATTTAGCCCTATATTGATTTATACATTAGTTTAAATGTATATTTCACAACCAGTAAAATTTACAAAACTCCAGAAAATCCGGAAAATTTCAAATTGCTGTTTTCTGGTCATCATGTATAAAGTAATCAAAAGAAAATTATTCAAATCACTTCAATTGCTCCTCACAGAAGATTCTGTTGAGAGATTCGTAATAATTAGAGGAATTTATTAAATGTAATTTTAGGTTCCATGACAAAAAATTGAGTTTATTTCAATATCAAACCGTATTTGAATTTCTGAGTCACCATATAAATGTCGCCATTGGTTATTTATTTATTATATAAAAGTCGCTATTTTCGTAATTTTAGTCACTAAAGTCACTACTATTACATCACTACCAGTCTTGTAACAGTTTGTTCTGGGTCCTATGTCTATTAATGTTAGCATTGTAAATTGCAATGATATTAAATTACTCCATTAAAAAAAATATATAAAAAAATGTAATGCTTCCTGCAATGGTGTATTCAGCAACAACAATTCCAGTGAAAATCTCCTCAAAATTATCATGTAGGAAGAAGTGGGGCTATTTCGTCAATGGAGCAAATTGACAACCTGTTTAAACATCAATTCATTGAACATATTTTACAAAACATCTGTTGCAGGCTTAATGCGTGAAGCCTTCTTGAACTATAGTCTAAAATTTTACTTTTATCTAGTGCAAAAAATCAAAAAAATGGTAGAGTAACTCAAAATGTTCGAAATGTTATAACATTTCTTAATCATAAAATAAGGTCTATCAGTTGATTTTTTTTCTCCCTAACTTTATTACTTAATCTTTCTTCTAATTATACTCATGACTCCCCTTGAATTCGCAAAGCCCATGATATTCTTTCCAGAATTACCTTGGCATTCTTCGCAAGAGTTCTTTACATAATGCCCTTAGATTTATACCAATTCTTATCTCAATTCCATGAAAAGTTCTTCCTGTAAGATCATCCAAGAACCTTGACAATTTACCAGGATCCAAAATCTTGATTAAGAATTCAAATATGAAATCGCTGAAATTTGTTTGAGGTCCTAAAACTTCAGTATTTCTATAAGTTCTGTTAGGAACAAATGGATGGTAGTTTGAGCGTCTTTTTTCCCTTGATTTGTTTTCCGTCGATCTTTGAGCTGTCATCTGCTGATGTTTATATTTCTTAAGATGATACGATCCAGCGTCTATTAATCATAGGCACTTGCACTGCCACTGCCACACAATTTTCTAGGGAGTTGATCTCGAACACTATTGTGATTTCAGGCTTTAAATATGCGTCACCATAGCCCTCGTCAGTCGTCTACGTGGTTTACAGAGAGCTCCTATGACGTATAATTTTCTGATTGCTAGTGAGCTACGAAAGATTATTTTTAAAATACTCAAAATCTTCTGTGGCGGTGGCGCACCACGAATTTATTCGATGGGTCAGATTCCTATTTTCTGCTCAGAAGCGATAAAATAAGTCGCTCGAAGGCAATATTTTGTCTGCCTTTTTCAGCAATCAACTCCTCCCGAATTTTCTCAAGATCGTCTAACCACATTCTTTTTTCCCAATTGTAGAGATAAAAGTACTACCCTATATTGCACAACCGGTGTATGACATCCGTCAGTCAGGTGATGTGGTATTCGGGCCAGGAACAAGATCCGCCCTTCTCGGCATCTTGGGAGGGGCCCTTCCACGTTTGACCACCGAGCAGCATGAACTGGTCACCCGTGCCAAAAAGTACGCTATGGAACAAAGCATTAAGATGGTGCTGATGAAGCAGACTCTTGCCCACCAACAGCAGCAGCTGGCCAGCCAGCGGACCCAGGTTCAACGTCAACAGGCGTTGGCCCTCATGTGCAGGTTGGTAGCATTTTGTTCTTTCTTATTTCGTACCTATTAGGGTAGATATACCAGTTAAGGCTGTAGCTTCCTATTATGATGTTCCCATAGGCTATAATTGGACCGTACCATAATAGGAACTTATAATCATAACTGATGTACCACCCTAAGTACTGCGGCTAAAGCAGTGACGATGATGTGAAACATTTTTTAAAAGAGAGACACGACCGTTGAGTCCTGGCTTTGAACGCTAGATGCATTCCGTTCTTGGATGACCTTTTCTTTGCTGATAAGATCTGAGGTCACGAAATAATTTCAGTAGTCATAAATTTTCCCCTTTTTGGAGCATTGGTCGTAAAGTAATTTTGCGTTTTGCTTTCAGAGTCTATGTCGGTAGTATTTCGTTCGAGTTGAAGGAGGACACGATCCGAGCTGCTTTCTTGCCGTTTGGTCCGATCAAGTCGATCAACATGTCGTGGGATCCGATTACTCAAAAGCACAAGGGCTTCGCTTTCGTTGAGTATGAAATTCCCGAAGGAGCGCAACTTGCTCTCGAACAGATGAATGGGGCTATGCTCGGTGGCCGTAACATTAAGGTTGGTCGCCCAAGCAATATGCCACAGGCTCAGCAGGTGATTGACGAAATCCAAGAGGAAGCGAAAAATTACAATCGTATCTACATTGCGTCGATTCATCCGGATTTGACGGAAGAGGATATCAAGAGTGTGTTCGAAGCATTTGGGCCTATCATGACGTGTAAGATGTCGCAGGGTAGCACTGCTCATACCCACAAAGGATACGCGTTCATTGAGTACCAGACGAATCAGTCGGCGATTGAAGCTATCGCCAGCATGAATCTGTTTGATTTAGGTGGACAACTATTAAGGTAAGTGAAACTTACTTCGAAAAATGCTTGGTATTCAAAATGTTAATGATATTTTTTTGTTGATAATTTTATAGAGTTTGTCGTTCCATTACTCCGCCGAATGCGCTGATGGGCCCGGCAGCTAATTCGGCGATGCCAACGGCAGCAGCCGTCGCTGCAGCTGCTGCCACAGCTAAAATACAAGCTATGGACGCTGTTGCAACAAACGCCGTGCTAGGCCTATCGGCATCATCGCCAACTCTTAAAGTTGGTCTTGGAACTCTTCCCATACCCCAAACCATCACTTCGGCTGCCAATGTCAATCTGGTAGCGCAAGCTCAGCTCGCGGCCACCGGTCAGGCGGCTGTAATTTCGCAGCCTGGATTGCTCGTTCCACCGGTAACTAATGTTGCCAGCTTGGCCCCGTCTTTACTGGTCAATCCGGTTTTGGTCAACGCGGTTAAACCACTGCAATCAGTATTAAGCGCAGCGAACCCGGCTGCGGTTGCTGCAGCAGCCGCCGCCGCTGCGGCCGCAGCAGCAGCAGCTGCTGCTATTCCAAATGCAACGGCAGAAGAAGTATTCAAAAAAGCCCAAGAAAAGCAACAGGAAGAATTACAAAAGAAACTCCTGGAAGAAGGAGAACCACAGACGCTGCAGCAACAAGAAACAATGTCCATCAAAGGACAAAGCGCACGTCATTTGGTTATGCAAAGGCTCATGCGACCACGCGAGAGCAAGGTGATTATTCTGCGCAACATGGTTGGCCCAGAGGACGTGGACGAAACGCTGCAGGATGAGATTCAGGATGAGTGTGGTAAATACGGTATTGTGGAGCGGGTCATTATCTACAAGGAGCGCCAGTCCGAAGGCGATTACGCCGAGGACGACAATACGGATGTGATCGTTAAGATCTTTGTCGAGTTCTCTCAGGCCGCCGAAGCAGATAAAGCCCGCGAAGCACTCCATGGTCGCTATTTCGGTGGCCGTCTGGTCAAGGCCGAATCCTACGACCAAGCGCTCTTTGACCATGGTGACCTGTCTAGTTAGGAAAACAAAAAAAAATCGACAAAGAGCGTGGCCACACTCTGATCCACCATTGAATCCCCGAATGCGAAGCGTTTCGTGTAGTATGACAAAGCAAACTTATTTCGAGTGAAAGTAGCTATCACCCCAGCGCCAGTCAGGACTATGAATAAAGTGTACGATCTATTTTATGATTCACTATTTACTCGTTGCGAGAGCATGAAAAGAGCAAGCCACAAATACATCTTGGAAAATTTACACCTAAGGACACAGACACATACATGTTGGGACACAAAGGAACAACATGAACACGATTATGATTTTCAAAGAAGGAAACAATCTATTTATCCTACTAATATAGTTGTTATTGTTATTGCTCAGCACACACCCTGGCTGACTACCGTAAACTCATCTACAGTCAAACGAGTATGTACATACGGGAACTTGGCCGTGGGCCTATGCTAAACGGTATAGCATAACGACCTTCTTCCACTAGCAGGTCTGTTGTCTCCTGTTTGCCCAGGCAGTACACTTATAGGGGATAGTAGGAGATTAAAAGAATGGATAAAAGGTTTTTGTTGTTTTGCTGAAAAGAGAAACGAAATTACGCCGGCTTATATTCCTTGGTGTGTAGATTCCCAATATACTTGCATCAGTATTTCCCTCGTTTTTGTTCCGGGTCGAATGTTGCCCAATGATTCGTTGAGCCTTGCTCATTCGTTAATTTTGTCTCAAAAAGAAATTCAAATTCAAAGACAGAAACATGAGTGTTTGTGACGTTGTGTGTGTGTGTGAGTGTGGGTACGCGCGTGTTTGTGTGTGTGGTCCAGAACCGGGGGGACTTTTTTTTCCTCTTCTGGACCTAACACCACTGCGACCAGTAATTTGATCTATTGCAGTATATTCCGTGTCCTTAGTTCAGTGCATGTATTTCTCCATCGATTTTTTTTAACAGTTGTCATTCTTGCATTCATCGCAAGGATCCGACTCTAATTGAAAGGTCCCGCTAGTGTTGAAACACCCTCCAAAGGTGCGCCCCTTTGTCAGTCCAAATTGGATTTCTTAGCAACAAAATTAAGGAATGACACCGACACCATGCATCAGAACCCTAGTCTTAAGCACTTCAAACTAGGGAACAACGAATAGAAGATTAGGAATCACATAGATGAAGCCGAGTCTTGTCACTATCAACAAGGCATAAAAAGTAACAATGACTAATAGCGAATTCGTTTATTATTCAGTTCCAACCTGGATCGGGTATCAAGATTGGGTCTGCTTGTTTTCTGACAAACGTCAGTTTGCTCGTTTTTTTTTTTAAACCTAGCTCAGGTTGAGGTTCACACTGACAAAAAGTTCGGTTTCGCACTGGGTTGAAGCTGGTTCCAACCCCGATAATAAACGAATTCGTTATAAGATGTGTTCCTTTGATTACTGAAAAATCCCGTTCCCCTAGTTTGAAGTAGTCAGGACTAGGAATCGGTGGTAGATCTTACATCGCGTAACGTACCACGAAAACGTGATCAACCCACGTTACGGGGTAAGAACCAGGGGACTTGGTCATGTACCAATTGCTCTCCCTACCTCCACTCCACTCAGCTACACACAATACACTGCGAGATAGTGGGCGGAACGCTATGATTGAGGCAACTAGAGCAGACGACAGGCAATCAGTTGGTCACCTCCAGCAATCCCACCGACACAGGACTACTAGTTGTCACCTGGTACCTTACAGCACACGATGCCACAACGTAGACCAAAAAGATTGGTAATTCAATTCCCCCAATCCGTTTAACACCTTAATAATTAATGGTATATTCCTAAGCGGTCCTTCCTCGTCCATTCCATGCCCTTCCCAAAATCAAATCAAAATTTAACCAAATCCCACCCCAAACCTATAAGATCAAATCAAATTCAGTAAAATCAAAGGGGGTCAATTACCCACATTGTTGTATTGTGCACTTTAGAGCCACCCAGGGCCATTAGCACTAGAGCATTATGTAGCTTGAAACTTTTAACCTTGTATGGAAAGGCATCAGGCTGGCTGCATTCTTGAAGAATGTCAAGCATCGAGAAGGAATATGCATGATGAGGGCCGCTGCGACACCCAGAGCATACATACTTTGAACAACGATCAATGTTTTTATGCCATGAAACCAATGCTCATCCTAATATATTAACCCAACCTAGCTGCCTCCACTTTCGGCATAACAACACTAACCTATCTACCCCAATTTATTAATCCTATTGATATAATTGTATATATACACAATTACGCTTCTCTTCAGAAACAAATAAATTACTCTATTATTTTAAAAACTTACACCAACTGACGTAGTTAGTTTGTATCACATTCCTTCTACTTTTCGTGTTTCTTCTTTCCAGGGATTATCTCATACTCTTCGTACTGTGGGAACGAACCCATGCCAGTAGTTGTTTTTTGGAGCTCTGCTGCATCCGTGGGTTTACTATACTTTGCTTCCAATTCAGCTGCGTTGCGTTCCAACAACAACATCGAGTCAAGTCAGTTTGTCCCAAGGAAAATAGTCCCATCCTTAAATTCAATCGCCCATAGTTCAAGTTAAAGTTCTGCTTTTCGAATTGCCATATTTTTCGCTGATATAACAAAACAAGCAAACTTCATTGCAACTGATTTTATCTTGGATACATTATCAATAAATTTACTATTACATTTCAAATATTTACGCGTCACTTTTAAAATAGACCATTGTAACCCTAATAAAAAATAATCATAAACGAACGATAACCCAAATCATTGAACTATTCCATAAATGGTTTGGATGATACCCAGAACACGTCGTTAAGCAAATTTTTTTTTTTTTTTTTTTTTTATTAACTACTTTATTTGTACAGGCTCAATCGAATAAACTTTACAGAGCCGAGTTATCATTTTTGTTATACATTATTGATTTCTTATATTTAAAGTTAAAGGAGCTGGACCGGATACTCGCGATTGTCTCGAGGTTAGTGGGGATTTACAATTTTTTGGATGGGAAAAGGGAGAGGGAGGTTTGAAATGTGGTTTACGATACAAATATTTAATTAATCCTAAAACATGAACTAATTTCTATTCATCTTGAAAACAAACATAAAAAAACCCACACGTACAAAATACAAACTAAACACAAGGTTAATAAAACTTACAATCTAATGTTAATATTCTTAAAGTAAACATATATGAGTTTCATAAACTCCAGATCGCGTCTAGCCAAAATATCCCGAACTGGAACATTAGGTTGTCTACCTCGAGCCCGAAGGGAATCGTACAGTTCAGATCTGATTCCGCGATGCTCAGCACAAGACCAAATAATGTGATCTGCGTCCTGGTAACCTTGTCCACATTCACAGAGACTGCTGTCCTTCAGCCCAACACGGAACAAGTGAGCGTTTAACGAATAGTGATTGGACATGAGGCGAGACATCATACGAATGAAGTCTCGACCCACATCCAACCCCTTGAACCAAGAACTCTTCGACACCTTAGGGATGATCGAATATAGCCATCGTCCCAAACTCCCTTCACTCCACTTATTCTGCCAGCTGACGAGTGACTGTTGACGATAAATGAAGAAAAATTCATCGTAGGCGATTTGTCGATCGTAAATATCGCCTTCCATAGCGCCCACCTTAGCAAGTGAGTCAGCCATCTCATTGCCCGGAATCGAGCAATGAGATGGGACCCATGCAAAGGTGATGACAAAAGATCTTAAAGATAAAGCACTTAAAAGCTCTCGTATTTTCATGAGAAAATACGAGGAGTGCTTTACCGGCCTCATAGAGCAAATAGCCTCGACAGAACTGAGACTATCCGTAAAATAAAATAATGATCTGGTTCAAGTGAGGCGATCGTTTCTAGCGTATAATGTATTGCCGCCAGCTCAGCAACATATACGGAACAAGGAGCTTGAAGCATTCGAGAGGCGCTATGAAATTCGTTAAAAATACCAAAACCAGCGGACGACTCTATTAGTGATCCATCTGTGAAGAACGATCTTGCGGAATCAACTTGGCCAAACTTTGCGATCATGGAACGATGATGTTCTGGGATCCCACGAATCTCCCGCGTCATAGATAAATCAAAACTAACTGAATTGCCGAAGTCGGAGAAGCATACACGATGAGGATTATGCTGTGAAGGGCTGACATCCTGTGTTATGTACACGTAGTACAATGACATAAAACGAGTTTGAGGGTTCAGCTCAAGAAGCTTTTCAAAGTTTTCGATTACCAGTGGGTTCATAACTTCGCAACGGGTGAGGAGCCTGAGGGACAATTCCGAAAACCGATCCGATAGTGGCAACATGCCCGCCAACACTTCTAGACTCATCGTATGAGTCGAGTGCATGCATCCTAACGCGATACGAAGACAACGATACTGGATACGTTCCAGTTTGATGATGTGAGTTTTAGCCGCCGACTGGAAACAAAAACTACCGTATTCTAAAACCGATAAAATCGTTGTCCGGTACAACGTTAGAAGATCTTGCGGATGGGCTCCCCACCACGTTCCGGTAATTGTTCGGAGAAAATTGATCCTTTGTTGGCATTTTCGTCTCAGATACTCAATGTGGGATCTCCAGGTGCATTTGGAATCGAACCAGACCCCAAGATATTTGAAGGACATAGAATGAGTGATCGGTTTACCCAAAAGTTGAAGCTTTGGTTGTGCTGGGCTATGCTTCCTAGAAAAAACGACCAACTCAGTTTTCTCCGTGGAGAATTCGATACCTAGCTGAATAGCCCAAGTAGACAAATTGTCTAAGGTATCCTGTAAGGGTCCTTGCAGGTCGACCCCTTTGGGCCCTGTCATAGACACTACGCCGTCATCTGCAAGTTGTCTCAACGTGCAGTTGTCACTTAGACAATTGTCAATTTCTCTGACGTAGAAATTATACAAAAGGGGGCTTAAACATGAGCCCTGGGGGAGACCCATGTAACTAAATCGAGAAGCTGTAGAGTTTCCATGAGAAAAGCTCATATGTTTCTCTGACAGCAAATTGTACAAAAAGTTATTTATTAATGGAGAAAGGCCACAAGCGTGGAGTTTGTCTGAAAGGACTTCAACGGATACTGAATCAAAAGCCCCCTTGATATCCAAGAATACAGAAGCCATTTGCTCTTTTTTAGCAAAAGCCAACTGAATTTCTGTGGAAAGCAACGCGAGACAGTCGTTCGTTCCCTTGCCCCTACGGAATCCAAATTGAGTATCTGAGAGTAGGTGGTTCGTCTCAACCCATTTGTCCAAGCGAAAAAGGATCATTTTCTCCAACAATTTTCGAATGCACGATAACATCGCGATGGGACGATACGAGTTATGATCTGAAGCGGGTTTTCCAGGCTTTTTAATGGCTATAACTCTCACTTGCCTCCAATCATCCGGAACAATATTGAGCTCCAGGAACTGACAAAACAAGTTCAACATGCGCCTCTTAGCGACGTCTGGGAGGTTCTTCAACAAGTTGAACTTGATTCTATCAGCCCCCGGAGCCGAATTGCCACACGAAAGGAGCGCGAGTGAGAGTTCCAGCATTGAAAAAGGCTGGCTGATCTCGTCTACAGAATTCGTCGTTTCGCGAGGAAT